CCCCAAAACCCCAAAACCCCAAAACCCCAAAATGCAAAAATATAAACAAATTTTATGAAATCAAGAATAAAATATGAAATTATCTTTCAACATTTAAAGCATGGAACATTTGTTATTTGAAGAGTTGCAATGCTTGTAATTCATTATTCAATATTAAATCTAAGCTTCTTCTAACTTTTCGATCTATTACTGCGATGATGACCTTAATAATTTTGATCGCTTTACCTATTCAAGTGCCCCTAAAATACATTTTCATTATTTTTTTGTTATTCTTAGTTAAAATACTGAAAAATATTTTTATTTTTCACATTATCTCTTGTTGTTAAATATCCCACTGATTTATTTTATTGCATAGAACTCATTCTTTTCTGGGTACTTAAGATATTAGAAGTTTTATTGTCATTTTTATTATTATTAAAATCAGACAGTCTTACATCTTGATTAATCTTACTCTATTTGTGTCCAATAGATTGGCTACTTTAGTTTCTCTTAAACATTACTGCACTAATTTGGCTTTCATTGTGTTTTTCACTTTAAGCTTGAGATATATGCGAATGAGTATTATTTTGATGTAAGCCTCTCTTTAATTTACACTTTTCACAATCTTTTTCACTTTGAACAATCATCGTATCAGTTCTAATTATAGTTTAATGAGCTATTTCCACACTTTATTTTAAATTCTAGATATAATTTTAATCATCTCTTTCATATTTTTTCATCATTGTATGCAGAGTCTTAAGCTATTTCTTATAGCCCTAATTCGGATTATTTTAGTAGGAATTAAAGTAGTTCTTGTTGCTATCTTAATTTGTACTAAACTTGTTGAGATTTTGTTATCGACTCAGATTTCCAATAAATGAGTTATTGTTATTGCCCTTACCGCTGTTATTGATGTTAAAAGATGAGTTGATATTCAAAAAATCAGAAAAGGTGTTGCTTGAATCATTATTCTAATAAAGATTGTTTTGTCTAGAATTCTATTGATTTAATTTTTCTAACTGGAACTACTTTTCTAAAATTTGCTAATACTTTTGCTTTTCTCTTTATTCTGTAATGTAATTCTATTCCATAACTATTGAATCTTCATTGGATGGTAGATGTGAACTTCTTTTAAATTTGACTCCCATTTTCGATAATCTTAGAGGCTTTTTAATTTCTTCTTGCTTTATTTAATCTTTCAATAATATTTTGTTGTCCTATATTATTACTGGAGTGAAGATCGAATCCTATAGCTTATTTAAGATTTTAATAGATTTCCTTCTGCTTTCTCTTTTATTAAATAGTCTAGCTTCATTTTTTTATTCTTCTTCTGTCTTTAGTGAATCACTGGTGTTGATTTTTGCATTTGATAGATTAGTTGATTCTACTCTCTATATTTTGATGTAGAAATTTCTACCAAATTTGCTTTCATAATCATCCTACTATTACTGATACTCAAATTCTTTAAGCTGTAACCTTACTATAAATGGGATTAATAATAGGGACATTACTTTTAATTGAGCTTTGCTTTATTATCTTTAAGAATTTCATGATATAGGCAAACAAGAAGAAAAACTTATACTTTCGAACAACTCCTCTCAAAAATTTCTTTTAAGTTTCACTATTCAATAAATAGTTTTATTATTCCTACTAATGATTAGGGCTCTCTTCCACTCTTATTTCTGTATCTAATTTCACCTTACCTGGAGTCTATTTTAAACTTGAATTTGATATCCTCTCCTAAGAGGCAATACGTGAAATATTTTCTCCAATTGTACTCTATTCTATAGATCCATAACCATAGGATGAATTATCATCATTATTTGCTTTTTGCCTCTTCTTAAGAGTTTTACTCTTAAATCTAAATTTCTAACTTCTAGATTTTGAGAGGTCTCTTTTCAAAATCTTCTACGGACTCTTCTTTTAGTAATATCGTTATTCAACTTTTTCAGGCTATATCCAGTAATTATCTTCAAAAATATTGACCATTTCAACTAGTTCCTTGTTATTTACGATGATTGAATCTTAGACTTGCAAACCATCTGGAATAATTATGTTTTTATTTTAAAGTAGATTCACCAGCGTGTTAGGAGATATGATAGAGAGCTTGTCATTATTGCTACCAATTATAATGTCTGATGGTTACCTCTCTATCTATGGAGATTAACCTTCTTGTAATGAAATACTCATTTAATCAATAACCTTAACTTTGAAAGTTACTTTTCTCATCAGCTCAATCGTGTTTGCTTCCATCTGATTGATAAACTTCATATTATAACTGATTCTATCCTTTTACTAATCTATTTCGATTCTCACTAATTCAAGTTTATTCTTAAGTTCAAAGTAAGTTAACTTTCTAGGTTAATGTTGATTCAAAGTTGATTATTTCTTAATTTTATGAGGATTTGATACTTCTATTTCTTGCCTGTTCAATTCAGCCTATTCTAGTTCTGCCACCAAATTTTCATATTCTTTTACCTTCATTTTGTTGACTAATGCTAAGTCATTGTAAAGCTTAGAAATTGATTCTAAATACACATTCCTTTTATCGATTAAATGGACTAACTCCTTATCATCAAATTTCAAGAAGCCATGTCGTTCAATGATCCAAAATAACTCTTGGTAGTACGTAAGTTCATCACTTTGCTTAAAAAGCATTTCAAAGATTTACTATCCACTTAATTAAGTTTAAAGCACATTTAATCCGTCCTTTTAATGACTCAATTCTGATGAATTTAGTTTGCTTGAAGAGTCATTGCTTGAATTTCTTTTCCTGAGACTTGATAGCCTGAATATTGATTAATAAGGGCTGGCTTGATGATTTTAACCAGGCTAAATTTAACTAAACTTTTGGAATGAACTGTTCTAATCAATCATCAAAGTCGCTCTCTTTGTAATTGATCTACTTTTAGTCATTAATTTATCGTTTTTAATTGAATTAAGAAGCTCCAACCTTTTATCAATTTTCTTATCAAGTTGCTATTTACTGATGTACATTTCTTTCATCTCCTTAAATGCTTCAACATCAATACTCACTAAATTAGACATACTGGCTTAGACATTACTATGTGTTCTAATTCCAATAACTGTCTCTCTTAGATATAAAAGACAATAAAGTCTTACAATCTAGACTCTTTCCTTTTCACGTTGCTCATAGTTCTAAATGAATTGATTAAAGCTTAGTTCTTCTTCTCTGTTTTTCTTTTTTAGTTTCTCTAGCTTTCTTTACATATACTCTTTTTTAGTTACGACATTGTAGAAATCTTCTTGCATTTTTTTGACTTAGTTTGATTCGTTGTCAAGGGCAAGATGATTTTTGTAAAGAATCTATGATCGATTTTAAGACTTGGCTTCTAATTCAGATCTCACAAATAAAATTGATTAATCTGTAGCCAAAATTCTATACTTATTCATCAGCTCGAGTCTTGGTATATCTGCAGACATTTTCTCAGAATGGATAACTTTATCTTCAATCTTAATCTGCTTTTATTTATCAAAGAACTATATATAAATGAGATCTATTTTATCTGTTATATACTTACTATTTACTGTTTGAGTCTCGATCTCATTGCAATTAATTAATCCTTATCAGATTCTTATATATCAATTTGAATATGCAATTTGTTGAATTCATCTGCTAAATTGGTATGCTTCTTTTCCAACTCCTCTTCCGTAAGCTCTTAAATATCTTTGAGTGATATAATTCTTTGTGCTTCTTTCTCTTCAAGATACTTGAAACGCTCTCTAGCTAGATTAGCTTGCTCTATTACCATCAATTCCTGATATAAAGACTCAAGTCTTGCCTTTCTTCTGTTGTACTGATGTTTCAACAGATCAAGTTATCTTTATAATATTTTTCCAGGTCCATCTATCATTATCTACTTTTTGACATTAAAGTCCTCCATACTTTAATAATGCTTTTAAATAATACTGTCTGCATTCATTTTAGACCTGAAAGACAGGGATCCAATCGATTTTTTATCTCTTTAAATTGATTTTCTGCTCTAACTCATGTTATCGAAACTACTCTCACTATGACTTGAGGGTGATATAGCCTTTCTCTTTAAATGCTTTACAGATTTAGAGGAAGATAATGGATTTTGATTGATAACCTTTCTAGAAGTTACAGACCTTGGAGTCGTTTTATCTGCTTTGCTCTGATTTTGCTAACCGTAAGAAGATTCCTGAGAAATGATTTGATTCTTTATTGGTCTTTATTTCGATCCTCTTGACTATGACATTCTTCTTTTAGCATTTTTTATCTTTAGCTCACTACTTGGAATTGATATATAACCACTATCACTTTCTTCAGAAAATCTTCCATCCCTTGCAGTCAAATACTACTATTTTTTAATTCCTTTCATTGATAAATATGTTTATTTAACTTCTAAATTATACTATTATTTATAATCTTGATTTTTAGTAGTGGGGTTTTGGGGTTTTGGGGTTTTGG